CCGCAGGCCGAGAAACTCTCTCTCGGACCCCCCTAATAAACTTTCAAACGACCTGAACTGTCTCCTGGCAGCTCAGGCCAACTCAAATAAAATTATTGTAATATCTAACATTAATTTGCCTTCGTAGGCACTCCCTCAGCGGCACTTAGCCGCCTGCGCCCTCTTTTCCCAAAAGAGGGTCGCTCATGATAAGGCACAATAGAGCTTAATCAGCCGGTTGCCTGTCCCCAAAGGCGGTTTTTAGAGGGTATCACTTAGGGTCCCCGGTAGGACAGTGAGCCCCTCATAACCACGATAGACCGGCTATCGTGGTATGCGTAATGCATTTTCCGCCTCCCTACGTATAGGGTAGCCCTTTAATTGCTTCGGGCGCAAAAAAAAAAAAAAGGCTCAAATCGCAATCGCAAGTCGCAGCACAGCCGTCGAAGAGGCAACAACAAGAAAAAAAGGAAGCCGAAACCTAAGGAACAATAAGCTACCTAGAAGAAAAGGGTTTTAATTGCCTCCTCCCGGCTGATCGTCTATCTCTCTCTCTCTCGGGGTCCTAGTAGGGTCGTAATATACATACGCATTCAGGGGTGCGTGGGACGTGCGTCACCAGCACTAGGCAAGGAACGTACGTCATAAGTGGGATATTGTCCCAGGGCGACTGCGGGCACTGGACGTGTCCCTGCCGTCTGATACTGTTGGTCCTTCGAAATCCGGATCCCTGCTAGAAGTATATAGAAGAATCCGTTCAAGATGCCGGTTACCAGGTCACAGAAGAATGCCCCCTCATGTCCCGGGTCCCGTCCCTCAGATAAGGACGCGAACAGGTGAAATGTCAGGATCAGAAGGGGTCACGTCTGCGTCAGCGTCAGCATCATCAGGAACAGCAACTACGTCAGATTTTTCACGTACTACGACCATAGAGGATACCACAACGACAGAGACCACAGTTGCAACTGCCACAACTGCCACCACGGCGGCATCCAAGGATGAAACCGCACAGAAGGAGACGACCAAGAAGACTCCAGAGGATATTCCAGACAAGGGCGTTCATGGCTCCGCCACAACCCTTAAGCCAAAGGGGGTCAGTCGTCGCGCCAGGTCTACGAAGACCACGAGCTCCTCAGCCAGGAGACGGGAGCTGGAAGCCAGGGAAGAATTAGCACGCATGGAGCTAAAGCAAGCTCAAGCTGCGGCGAAGCTGGCACGCATCAGATTAGAGCTGGCACAATGTGAAGATGAGGACTCCGTGGATGAAGACCAGGAAGACAGAACAGCACAGGTGCAGAACTGGATCGAGACATCAGTAATGGAAGAAAACAACATGGGAAAACACGAGCAACGAGGTCAGCACCCTCCAAAAGAGCCAAATTGTGAAGCCTGAAGAGAATTCCTCAACGAAAAAAGATACGAGCGAAATTCAAGCGCTGACGATAGCATTGAAGGAAGCCCTTACCACACGAGGAGGACCAGTAGCTCATCCGAAGTATATCCACGAGCTACCCTACTTCGATGGCAACAGCAGCGAGTGGTTGGCCTTCAAGGTGGTCTACGAAGATACCGCCCCGATGTTCAACGCAGTTCAAAACATGGCTCGACTAAGAAGAGCACTAAAGGGCAACGCAAGAGAAGCCATCAAGAGCCTGCTGTACTCCGAAGCCTCTCCACTGGAAGTAATGCAGGCCCTCAAAAGACGATATGGAAGACCTGATGCATTGGTGCTGGCTGAATTAGATAAAGTCAGGGCATTACCGAAGATTTCTGAAAATCCAAGAGATATATGCGTCTTTGCGAGCCAAATCAACAACAGCGTAGCAGCAATAAGGGGTTTGAAGAAACCACAGTACCTGCATTCACCTGAAATGGTAAAGCAAATTATAGAAAAAATGCCTACAATCCTGAAGTTCCGATGGTATGACTTTACGGCAGCAACAGAAGAGGGCGAGTTCTCCGACCTGACGATGGTCTCCAAGTTCCTGAACAGCGAAGCAGACAAATGTGGAGCCTTCGCGACCTCAGAAGAGAAGAGCGGGTTCAGAAGAACTCATCGACAAGCGACGCATTCTACGAGGGAAAAGGACTTTAAAGAAAAAGATACAAGACAGTCAACAGAAAAGACTTGTCCTATGTGCCAAGGTGGACACTTCCTCGTCGACTGCCAGAAGTTCCAGAAGACGTCAGTACAAGATCGATGGGCAACAGTAAAGAAAAGTCACGTTTGCTTCAAATGTCTTCAAGGAAAACATCGAAAGGAGAGCTGCAAGAAACCACCGTGTAAGGAATGCAAGAGGTGGCATCATCATTTGCTGCACGTCGAATCAGAAAATAGGACCTCGGGAGAGAAGAAGGCGGAAACACAAGAAGAAGTAGCAAGTGTCATGACCTCAGTAAATGCAGTCAACAACGCAAGGGCATACCTGAAGATAGTTCCAGTAGAAGTCTTCGGGCCAAAAGGATCCAAAAGAATATTAGCTCTCATGGATGAAGGGTCGACAGTGTCGCTTATTGATACAAAGGTGGCAGAAGAAGTCGGCGCTAAAGGCAACAAAGAGGAGCTGGTCATCGAGACAGTAGGAGGCAGGCAAATCAAGAAGAAGGATTCTCAGACGCTGGACCTTGTGGTGAAGGGGGTTCATCAAGGAAGCAAGAAGACCTTGAGGAGAGTCCGAACTATCAACGAGCTGAAGCTTGCACCACAGTTCCTAGAGAAGAAAAGGATAGAAGAATGCCAACATTTGAAGAAGATCGCCGACTCTCTTTATTATAAAGGGGAATCACCACAGCTGCTCATCGGTCAGGACAACTGGGAGCTGATAGTGACTCAAGAAGTAAGGAAAGGGAAACCAGGAGAACCAGTTGCTTCAAGAACAGGGCTTGGATGGGTGCTTCATGGATCAGACACCGGGGCTGTAAGAGTAGTACACTTCATGAACACGTGTCTACATGTCAGCACACCAGATGAGGAGATGCATCAAGCCATTAAGGACCACTTTGCAATCGAGGCGCTTGGTGTGCAGCCACGAAGACCCACCACAGACTCAGAAGGAAGAGCACTCGCCATCCTAGAGAAGACCTGCAGAAGACTTGAAGATGGACGATTCGAAGCTGTACTCTTATGGAAAAATGAAGATGAACGGATGCCTGAGAGCTACTCATCTGCAAAGAACCGGTTGTTCAATATTGAAAAGAAGATGGATAAGGACCCTCAGCTGACGGCAGAATACATCAAGCAGATCCAGCACCTTATCGACAGCAAGTATGCAGAAGAAGCACCTACGCAACAACAGGACTCTAAGAAGAAATGGTACCTCCCTCACTTCTCCGTAGTACATCCACTGAAGAAAAAGATAAGGATCGTCTTCGACGCTGCAGCCAAGTCAAAGGGAAGAAGCCTCAACGATGCTCTACTGCCAGGACCAGATCTACTGCAGTCGCTCTTCGGGATACTACTAAGGTTTCGACAGGACCTGCTAGCTGTGGCAGCCGATATCAGAGAAATGTTTCTTCAAGTTCGCATTCGACCAGAAGACAGAGATAGCCTGAGGTTTTTGTGGCGCGGGGCTCGTCGCGACGTGCCTCCAAAAGAACACAGGATGACATCGGTTATCTTCGGCGCAACATCATCTCCGAGCACCGCAATCTATGTGAAGAATCGAAACGCAGCGGACTTCAAAGAGCAGTATCCAGAGGCAGCAAGGGCGGTCGAGCTAAACCATTACATGGACGATTACCTGCACAGCTTCCACTCAGAAGAAGACTTTATAAAAGTGACGACGCAGGTGGACTTCACACACAAGAAGGCAGGCTTCGAACTCAGGGGATGGGCGTCAAATCAACCCGAACTGCTGGAAGACGTGAAGATCGACGACTCCATTGAGAAGATAGAAGTGGACCTAGGCGAGAAAGAAGAGAAGACATTAGGTCTGCGCTGGTTCACCAAAAAGGACTCCATCGGCTTCAGGACAAACCTCCGAAATACACCAGAAGAAATAGCAAGAGGACTCAAGGTGCCTACGAAGAGGGAAGTTACCAGCGCAGTAATGTCGACCTTTGATCCGCTGGGTTTAGCATCACCAGTTCTCATCCAAGGCAAGAAGCTGCTTCAGAACATATGGCGAAGTGGCGTCGGTTGGGATAACGAAATAAAAGAAAGGGGAGTACGAAGCATGGAAAAGCTACCTGGAGAAGATGAAGCTACTCCAAGACCTGCAAGTTCCGAGATGCGCGTGGCGCCACATTGCACCGAGGGGGAGCTACACACTTTCGTTGATGCGAGCGAGCTGGCGTACGCAGCGGCAGTTTATTGGAGGACAGAAGGGCAAGATGGAACCTACCACGTCAGCTTAGTGGCAGCAAAGGCGAGAGTCACTCCACTGAAGCCAGTGTCCATCCCGAGACTCGAACTACAGGCAGCCCTCCTAGGAAGCAGACTGGCTCATTGAGCTGAAAAAGAATTGGACCTAAAAGTAACAAAGAAAAAATTTTGGACAGACTCCAGTATCGTACTTTCCTGGATAAAAACAGACCCGAGAACCTTCAAGACGTTCGTGGCTCATCTCTTAGCGGAGATAGAGGACCTCACCAAACCGCAAGACTGGAGATGGGTGCCTACAGCGCAGAATCCTGCAGATGACGCAACACGCGACGTGCCAGAACACTTAAACTGCACTCACCGATGGTTCACCGGACCCAGCTTCCTGAGAAAAGAAGAAGCACATTGGCCTGCACCAAGAACTTTCAAGAAAACAACCACCGGCGAAGAAAGGGCAGCGGACGTCGCAGCAACAACACAAACATTTCATCCATCACCAGACCCGGAGAGATTCTCTTCATGGAAGAGGCTTTGGCGAGCCACAGCGAGAGTACTGCAGTTCTTACAACTCTGCAGAAAAGGGGAGAAGGTCAACGTCTGCAAAAATGATCCCACCTTGAAAATGACACAAAGAAAAGGAACGAAGACTGTAAAGAAGCAACACAGATCTTCATAAACAACAGAAAGGAAATATATACCGATGGACACCGAACTACTCGAGAAAGCTGAAACTATTTTGCTGAAAAGAAGCCAAGACAACAGTTTCCGAGAAGACATCAAGCGCCTTCAGCAAGGGAAGCAATTGGAGGGCAGCAGTAAAGTGAAAAGGCTCGACGTAGTACTAGAAGAGTGTCTCCTGCGGCTAAAGGGAAGAATCGACGCGATACAGGGTGTAACCAGGGACTACAAACGACCCATCGTGCTCGACATGGCAAGGACAAGACAACACAACTCATCATAGAAGAATTCCACTGCCGCTTCAATCATGGAAATCACGCGACGGTGATGAATGAAATACGACAACGCTTCTGGATACTCGGTCTAAGGTCAGCAATCAAGGAGGTTCAGCATCAATGTCAATGGTGCAAAACGAGAAAAGCAAGACCTCAAGAAATACCAACAGGCAACTTACCGGCGGAAAGGCTGATGCACGGATATCATCCTTTTACGTGCACGGGCGTGGACTACTTCGGCCCGATGACAATCACCGTGGCAAGACGGACACAAGAGATGGGGGGCTCTATTTACATGCCTCACAACAAGGGCTGTGCACATTGAGCTAACTCCTTCGCTCTCCACCAACAGCATGATCACGGCGCTGTGACGATTCGCCGCAAGAAGAGGGATGCCTAAGAAAATCTACAGCGACAACGGGACTAACTTCGTCGGCGCCAACAAAGAAATAAAAGAGGCGCTCGACACCTTGCAGCAAGAAGACCTCACCTCAGAAGCAGAGAAGATCGGCGTGCAATGGAAATTCATCCCTCCAGGTGCGCCAATTATGGGTGGCGCATGGGAACGTTTGGTGCGATCAGTCAAAACCGCATTAGACGCCACACTTCACGAACGGTATCCACGAGAGGAGGTACTCCACACTCTCCTCCTAGAGGCCAGTGCACATAGTCAATTCTCGACCTCTCACACACCTCTCTGAGAACCTTGAAGAAGAAGCACTAACACGAACCACTTCCTCATCGGGCGGTCCTGTGGCGCAGCGAGAGTCGGCAGCTTGAACGACAACGAACTCGTGTGCAGATCCACATGGAAGGCCACGCAGCGGCTTGCTGATCACTTCTGGCAACGTTGGCTGCGAGAATATCTACCCACTCTCTTGCCAAGGAAGATGAAGGCAAGAAACAGCACCACAGACCTGCAAGTTGCGGACATCGTGCTGATCGTCGACCACAACCTACCAAGGTGCACCTGGCCACGCGGCAGAATCTCCCAAGTGTATCCTGGACCTGATGGGCGAACAAGGATCGTCGACGTCGAGACGCGTGGAGGTGTGCTGAGAAGACCCAGTTCGAGAGTAGTGCTGCTGGTGCCGGGAGTGTCGCCGAGCCAGGAGGATGGTGCGACGCACGAGGGGGAGAATGTCGGCGACAAGCATACAATCAACCAGTGACGAACTGTGTTTTAAGACTATTTCAATTCCTTAATTAGTGTAGTGTCAATCAAGTGACGAACAATGTTTAAATTTTTTTTTGGCGACAAGCATATAATTTACCAAGTGACGGACTTTATTTTAAGACTATTATAATTTCTCAATTAGAGTAATTAGCTTATTAACTCTTATTAGAATATAATTCAAATATAATTGCAAATCGAAAGGTTAGCCTTTAATGATAATTTTGTAAGGAAGTTTTTTTAGCAAGAATTTGTATTGTAAATACTTAACAAAACTGGTGTTAGATTAAAGGTTTATACGTAACATAATGTAAACAAAAAGAAATAAGTAGATTAGACATCTGTTTTAATAAATATAAGACAAAATGTATTTGTTGTATGTAAATGTAAATTAGCAATTTTGTAGGGTTTTTGTTCTATAAGTTTTGTATAGAGGACTTAATAGTTTTATATTATTATTTTATGTTATAGAACATAACTAGAGCAATCTACCAATATATAATTTGTAAGGGTTTTTTGAAAATTTTCGCAGTCGCAGCCATAGATTACTGCGTATATACTAGAGAGTCGCAGCACAGCCGTCGAAGAGGCAACAACAAGAAAAAAAGGAAACCGAAACCTAAGGAACAATAAGCTACCTAGAAGAAAAGGGTTTTAATTGCCTCCTCCCGGCTGAACGTCTATCTCTCTCTCTCGGAGTCCTAGTAGGGTCGTAATATACATACGCATTCAGGGGTGCGTGGGACGTGCGTCACCAGCACTAGCAAGGAACGTACGTCATAAGTGGGAGATTGTCCCAGGGCACTGCACTGCGGGCACTGGACGTGTCCCTGTCGTCCGATACAGTGTGTGACGTTCAAGACTTAGAACTCATGCCTCGTCAACTATTAGTTTTTGAAGTTAGTGGCCATTTGCAATGTAATCTCCCACTTCACTCATCACTTGATTTCGAAAACACCTTTCTTGATCGCAAGATTAACATTTTTATTTTTTATTATTAATTTTTAATATTAGACCGTTATTAAAGCAATAAAAATAAATAAGCAAAGAAATATAAGTAGGTAAACCGATGTCAAGTTGTTTAACGAATTCACTTGGAAATCACTGTAGATTAAAGACGTCTTGTTAAATAACGCATAATACTGAATACAACAACATAACACGTAATAATAAAGCATAACGATGACATTTTGCTAGTAAATTAGAAGATAAGAATGAAAGTACTTACTTTTGACTGTGGAAGAAATAAGGGAGATTCCGACGGGAAAAATGTTTAGCCCGGGGAGCGGCCAACGCTTCGTGTGTTATTTATTTTGATAATAAATGAATCCCGAGAAATTATAACATTACACGGATTATAAGTATACCACCATTAACATATAAGATCATTCAAGAAAAAAGAGAACAGCAGGAGTCCACTACAGTTTTCTACACGGGGAAATGCCTATGTATACCCGCCTCGCAGGGGCAAGGACGGGTTATGTCGGATTTGCTTCAACTAAAATCCCATGATGTTCCAACCGCCGCATATTGGCGGGGCCACGGGAACCCTTTTACACACACCCGTGGTATCACAAACGCCGGATGGTGTGGTAGCCGCTCCTCGGCGAAAGAATTATTCGCCTCACCCTTTTTTCTTCTCAGATAAGGCTTACTAGCAACATAAGGCGCCTTCCTCCGCGACCTCTAACTCCACCTGCTCAAAGGAAGCCGCGAGCTCGATATGTGGAGACCGTGGAAGCAAGAAAGCGAGCACTAGGAAGCACCAGCAATCCTGATCCCAATAGCAGTTCTGGTTGTGTGTTTTCTCCGCCAAATAACTTAAGCGACCCCTACTCTCTCTAGATAGAGTCAAAAACTGACGAAACATAGAGGAAGTCGATGGATGCAGCGGGCGGCCTATGCTCAGCACTAAACTCGTAATAAGCTGTAGTAAATGAATAAAACAATTTGTTTATAAAATGTATTTTATCTTTAAGTTTTAATTATTAGAAATCACGAAAACTTAGCGGTGGCGTTAGAATAACACTTTCAATATTGTCAGTGCTTTCTAAATCTCTGTGTATATCTTCAATAGTTTCTTGCATTAATTCTTCCAAAGAAATATTGTTACTACCTTCACTTGAACTATGAGACACAATAGGATATTCTTCAACTATCTGTGTTAATGCGTCTGCTACATTTATGTTGCTATCAACTGAATTCTCCTCCTTGGAATTTATTTCATTTTCCGATTTCGATTCATCTTCCACGTGCATTGTATGTAAATTATCATTTATGGTTTCAATACTACCAGTATTACTATATTCTCGGTGATATATATTAACATGATCTATCTGATCATCGTTGGCGATCTTATCATTTTTATTTGTTGAAACACGGTTTTCATATGTTCTAGGTTCTTTTTTACTTAAATGAGGTGAATAATTATAGCTTGTTTCTGTTGTTATGCTCTGAGGAATAATTTCTTTAGTATCGAAATGGCCTGTTCTGCTTGGAAACGTATTTAATAATTCGGTTGATAGCTTAACAGAAGCATAGATATCATCTTCAATATTTTTATAACTTTCGGTTGTTGTATGTTGCATAGTAGTGGTTTGAGTTAAATGTATATTTTGTGTTTTTCCACTTCTAGATGAAGTTTTTCCTTCGATTACAGTTCCCAGATTTTTCGTACTCAGATCCTCAGTAACTACTTGATTTTTAGTTACATTACTTTCAGAAGAAAATTCAACAGGAGAGTCAGATGAAACAATTGATGTATTTTTTTGCGATTTAATTCTTTCGATTAATTGTGGGTTGTCCATTTTAAATTTATAAATAATTTCTTTAATTTTCTCCCTTCCGTTGAAGTTTTTCCTCATCTCCAATTTAATATCTGCATGAAGCTTGTAAAGGAGTTCTTCGTCACTTTTTTCTAGAATTGTCGTAGAGTGTGGCTGCAAAAGGAAATAATATTAGTTTATATCCAGTCATTTACAGTTTTTTTGTGTGAACGACGCTCAATAAATGTCGTGTCTTTACGTGTTCAATGTACGTGAAACTTAAGTAAATACAGTGTCCAGATGATTCTTTTTACTTTGAACAAATATTGGCTTTTAAACTCAAAGACTTACGAGTATTGCATGTATGCGTGATGATTCCTGAGTCCATCAACTAACTTGACGTAAAGACTTGGTGCATACAAACGGGTGCATACATGCAGCGTTGTAATCAGTGGAGTGGACGTGCTAAGAAGCTCATTGGTAAACTTAATTTGATTAAAACTAATCTTGTTAGCCTCGAGCACAGGCGCAGAGAAGCCAGCCTTTCGGTATTCTAAAGGATATATTGCGCAGGAATTACATGCTTTAATTCCTCTCTCTCCTTTTCATGTCGGCGGTCTTAACCCCTTTGTTATCGATATTCAACGCATTAGGACCAAATAGTTCGCTTTATATTTTGTAATGCGTACAGCAATGGAGTGTCAGACTACAATCTGAGCGTCATAAAGGCAACAGTGAACATGATTTTGTTGCGCTAAGACAGTGCGATTTACCATCTAAGCCTTCATCACCACTTACCATCAGAAGGGATTGTGGTCAAGTAGATACTGCCTTATAATAAGTAAAAAAAATTATACAATATTTAATCAAATGATTGTTTAGTTGTATATGAAAAGTCGATGGGAATGTATGGATGTCAGCATATTATCAACTCGATATTAGTTGCTGGTTACCATATAGGTACTGGTCCACATACACTAGACTAAACAGTCGTTCGGCGATTATTTAGTTGATCACTAGCGTCATTAAAATGACATACTTATTTTCTTTTTTTGTTTATTACGCATTATGTAATGCAAAGCACAAGCGAGTATCTTATTTGTCATGGAAGTTGTAATTATTACGACTAAGTATGTATAATAAATGAGTGCTGGAAAACGACCGACCGATGGGGAAATCTAGTAAGTCGATAACAGTTTAATCGTAATGAAATCGTCACATGAACACAATTTGTCTCAACAGTTTAATCGATTTAACAGAGTAAGTAATATTTGTACCACTAAAAGTTTATAGATTTTTTAAAATAAAATCATATAAGTTTCATAGAAAATCGTTTGTTTTCATAATATACTGTATTGAGTAGAATTTCTTAAGTTATTTTACCGTTTTATTTTTCACAATCAACTTAGCTAGTTCCCAAGCAAGGTTTACAGTTTCTTCAGGCAAATTTGTTTTAGCAGCTAGGCCTAAGCCGTAATGCTCAATTTTAGTAACTCCTGGTTCAATCTTATGGTGATAAATGAGCCTTCGTTCTGTATTATCTGTCCCTGCAACTTCTTCAGTCACTACTGTGTGGCGGCTGCCGATAAATAGAAATATTTTTTTATAGATTATGGGCGACAAACGAGCACTCAGACCACCTGAAGGTAAGTGGATGAGGCTATAGTCCGTAAATACCTACATTTATTCTCAATTAAGAATCAAAATTCCGTTGTCATCCCTGAGGACTAAGCTAGAATACCTCGATTTCAGTAAAAAGGGTCTTTAGTTTTCTCTATTTATACGCTAGTATTTAGTGAGAGCGTGGTCCGACAACTTTCAAATACTATCATCGGAAGATTATGAATTGCACAGACAATTTAACAGTGCATTTATGTAGCAGTATATATAGCTTACGAATATTGTAACATAATATCGCGCTACTATCAATAGTCAAATATTTGTTGCATATCAGCAGAGCATTTTATATTTATTTATATTTATTATTTATATTTATATTTTAGCCAAACCAGCCCCTCGTCCTCTTTCAAATCCGTTAGGCGGAGTCCATGGGGCCTGAAAAATGGGCAAATGTAAGTACCAGCCTTCCTGATCACAGCCGATCTAGTCTATGTCCCCGCCGCGTACATACAATGTTTTGGCCGCATAGGAGGAAGAGAGCGGCGTATAGTATTGCCGACAATCCTTTTTCCAGCGGCTTAACCTCAGTTACGAAGGATATTGGGAAGAGGAACCTCTCCCCTTGTCATTCGCAGCACTTTACTTTTAAATGTTCTGCGCTTCTTACAATATTGTCAGGCTATTACTATGGATCGGTCAAGAGCTCGTCATTATTGTGATATACTCAATAAGCAATAAAGGTTGCTTTATATTTAAAGCCCACTATACTTTAATTCAAAGCCTCGATCGTGAGTTCGATATTTGGAAAGAATAGTTCGTAGTTCTTATATGAAATTATTTTAATACTAACTCCATCTTTAATAGTACTTACTCCCTTTCGACCTAAGAGTAGCACAATTTTTCTTTGTTCTATGTAGCACAATTATTCTTTATTTTATCACCTATATCTGTCGAGACAATAATCTGAGCTATAATAATACAGGCTGTGAGTAAACTATCTTAGTCCATAGAAGCGACAACAATCTGTAGCTTTGATTTACTGAATTCTGTAGGTGTTCATAAATAAAAATATGCAGCGGGTAGTAGCCACTGAGCCATCAGGTGCGTATCACTTTGGTCTTTAATTTCATTTCTGAAAATATGTGTGGTTAAGCAGCGGGCCTAATGGTTCCCGAGATCGATTCCCAGGTCGAGCCTTGACCCTATTGTGCGAAATGTTACGAGGTGGACTGTATACGTGGATGGCTTCTTATGCCTCAACAAGATGGCGGACGTGGCACGCGACAACCTCGGACAATGCACTCGCTCTTCCAAATCTATTGCTTCGCCAAGGTTGGGAGTGAGTTCTACTTTAGCCGATAAGGAGAAAAAAATGAGGCGGGTTAGCTAACAAACAAAAGGACAAACACTTGGCAGTAATACCCTCGAACAAAATTAAAAATACACAAATCATTTCCGCGTAACCAATGCGTATGTTGCTGCTGAAACTAGCAATTTTATCCTTTTCAAGTGAGTAAAGCAAACAGTTATATTTAGAGTGAGCTGTAAAATAAGTTGTATAAATCTTACTTGACTACGTTATAGTATAATTCTTGCAGTCTCATTAAATACAAAAAATGTGTAGTGAAAAATGTGAATGCTTCGCTATTTATCAATTCCTCGCAAATAGCCCACGCCATGCTCGTGCCTCCTTCCGAACAAGTTCCTCTGGGATAAATAACAAAATTACTTATTATTTTCGTACTCACAAATTGTAATAAAGTAGAATAAAAACAGATTTTTGTACAAAGAATGTTCTAAACAATACTATGAGATATGGATAATCTAAAACAGATATAGTGTGCACTAAAACGTATGATGTAAATATTTCAAATTATTAATTTTAAGCAAATGCAATTTTAAAAAAATCGGTTAACCTGCACAATTCATCAATAATAACAAGACTGGATGGTGTCAACCCTTTTAGAATGTGTTGCGTTTCCTTCATCTGTAAATAATATAAATTTTATCTGAAAAACTGTTTGCTTTATAAAAATGGCATATTTGTGAAAGTGGTATTTTAAATTACTTATGGCTTCATGCCATGAACGAGGATATCCGCAGTAGAACCAGAGTGACTGACATAGCCCAACGGATTAGTAAGCTAAAGTGGCAATGGGCCGGCCATATAGCTCGAAGAACCGACAACCGTTGGGGAAAAAGATTCTCGAGTGGCAGCCTCGTCCGGTGAAGTGTAGGGCGACTTCCCACTAGATGGAGTGACAAACTGGTAAGACATGCAGGAAGTCGATGGATGCAGGTGGCTCAGGACTGTGCTTTGTGGCATACATTGGGGGAGGCCTATGTTCAGCAGTGGACTTGTGAAGGGCTGTAATGATGATGATGATGGCTTCATGCTAATTAAACACATTTATACAGTCCACAGTCAATCAGTCGTGGATAGGATATACTCGGGGTTTCTCCAAGTGATAGACTTATAAAAGAGGAAATCCGCAGCAGAGCCAGAGTAACCGACGTAGCCCAACGAATAAGTAAGCGGAAGTGGCAAATAGCTCGAAGAATCGACAATCGAACCGACCAATAAAATGTTATATATTACATACTAGCGATCCGCCCTGGCTTCGCACAGGTAATTTCTGCATCTCGATAACAGCGCCACCTACCGGGTCCAATTGTGAATCTAAATCATCCAGGGAAAGTCCCTAGATGGTTTAAATTGGAACGCACACTAAAAAATTCAACAAAATCATTCGAGCCGTTTTTGAGTTTTGCCGAGACTAACGGACACCAATTGATTTTTATTATATAACATGTTATTCGGGTAGGCGAAGTATAGGGCGCCCCCCCCCCCCCCCCCCCAGATGGAGTGACGACCCGGTAAGACATGCAGGATGGATGCAGGTGGCTCGGGACCAAGTAATAGTGTTCTGTGTCAGTCCAAAAAATCAATTATTGAGTTTTTCTGTCAAGAAATTCTCAGTAGCTGCCCGGAGTCAGGAAGTTGGCGGTGTCTCACCCCCGTGCCTCGGAAAGCACGTAAAGCCGTTGGTCCTGCGCCTGATCTCTCTCCGGTCGTGACGGTTTACCGTCCCATCGGATTATGAGAGTGAGGGAATAGAGAGTGCACTTATACTACACATACACTTGGGCACTATAATCTTGTCCTGCGATGGCTAGTCTCCGTTGAGGCAGGCTGCCGTGGCCGAAATTCGGTCTGGAGGACATTATTATTATTACTCTATGATAATAAATAAAATATTAAAATAAAAATCGTAATGGTCCACATACCTCGTAGAAGTATGTAGAGGCATTTAGTTCTACGCTATCATTGAATCCTATTCTAGAAAATATACGGTCGCAAAGTCTTAAGACCGCATTCGTTGCGGGTAGGAAACATCCCAGCTAAAAACGAGAACATATAAGTATATATATTTAAAAAAAATATGCAAATGAGATTCCTCGTGTTAAAATTGCAATAGATTGCAAATTAATTTTAATATATAACAATATTGTTAAATTTATGGTAAAATTTAAAATAAGAAAAAACAACCAACATACGTTACTACTTTTTATATTACATGATAGGCTATAATTATCTATTCAAGCGTAACTGAACCCTATAGTCACGCTAACAATTGAAGGAAATATTGAATACTAGCTTTTTACCCGGGGCTTCGCTCGCGTGGGCTTCAATTTAGAAACATCGATAATACTATTTCGTACTAAAATTAGCAAAACTGGATCACTTGTAGAGACAGGTCGGTATCTGTGCCCATATTGGCAATATTATAGGCTACAGAAACACATAAGTTAGTTTATCAGAATCGCATAAATTTTATACGTCAAGCAACACCTTTTTTATATCGGGCTCGTCTTCCGATGTCTTTATGAAGGGAAAATTATCCTGGAATCGGAAATGCGTTATTTACATAATATTCATTATTAAAGTTCATATAGCTTTAATAAAATAAGATTTAATTTCATGGTCTTTATTAATATTAGTCACATTAAATATTGCTTAGCACCACAGTTCGAGTAGACTTCAAAATTTCATAAATGTAGTTCTATTCACGGTGAACGTGTAAGAAAAACTAAATTCATGAACAGGAGTAGAAATCTACATAAGATAGGCGGCAGCGTCCTCCTGATTATAGCTCAAATAATAATTATATGCACTTGACAACTCGCATGCCAAGCGTGGCAACTATGGCAAATATCCAACTTATTTGGCAGTTTGTGAAGGAAATCCGAGTGATGAACGGGAGTAGAAATAATATATTAGCCATATAGAGGAGGCGAAAACGAAACCACTACCCCATTTCGTCCCGTGGGTGTCTTAAGAGGCGACAGCGAGTCAGGAGATGAGTGTCATCTTCTTGACAACAGCGCAAAGTAATACATAGCTGCGTTTGCCAATCCACTTGCAGTTCTTGAATACTACTGCAAATACCCAGCAGTGAATAGCCATATTAAAAGTAAAAAATAGCAGCCTAATTACATCCCATTACTGGACACAGGCCACAGCGAGTTTTAGGTAAAAAAGGAGTTGATCAAGTTAACTCCAACGCGAGATGACCGACTTCACATACCTATACATAAAAGGTGCGAACTGAAAAATCCACACAACTAACTTCCCAGTGAAAAGAAAAAATATATCATATGTCTTAATATTTTATACAATTTTTCATTCGGCACAAAAACGACTTGATCGATTTTGCTCAAAATTTAATGAGGTCTAAGTTACATAATTATGCGTTAAATTAAATTGGTCCCATGTCAATATCACTCCTTGTTCTCGAGATATACGAGGCGAAAATTGAATCCGAACATACACACGTACATGTGCACACACGGGCATCCTCTTAAAAACCATACTATTCGATGCTAAAGACCTTGAAACGTGGCGATATGTAAAAACTACCTATTTGCAAAATCGGACCCATTACAATAACTTCCCACTGGGAAGTTAAGAGGTTTCCTTGCGATGTTTTAGTTCACCACCGAGAACGTGGTGAATCAAAACTTCAAATTGCAGTTAATATAATATGAGTGGAGTCAGCGTGGATCTATTTTGTGTTGCAAAAATTTTAATAGTTATGTCTAAAAATATGAAAGCTATCTTAATATATTATGACAAACTGTTTTAAAAAAGTAAAAAGGCGGCGTCAACGGTATTACGAACTATTCTATCAATTATGGATAAAATTTTTATATGTTGCTGTGTTTCACATATGTTGAGTATAGAGAATCGGAGACCCTATTTACTGGAAACGAAGCATTCCATATCAATCCTCAGGGCTGGCAACGCATCTGCATTTTGATTTGTGGTGGACAGGTGGACTGTGTGTTCGTTTGTCAACCCTATTCTATAAAAAAGAAGAAATCGGTGAAATATTGCTATGCCGATAGACACACAACATATTCAACTAAAGACCTCTTCTCTTAATCAAAGTTTTGTGTACACTGTTTTGTTAGTAATTATACTAAAATTGATAATTATGATAAATCATGCAGACAGTGGTCATCGGGCTATACCGGTCTGACAATTTTTGATGCTGCTACAGTAACTACATACATATTTAATAGAATTGTGTTTAATTTGACCAGCTATGTACTTATTATTAATTTATGTAGCAGTAAGTAGATGGCGCTATTATTACATTACAACTATTACAACCAAAACTTTACCCTCTAGTACTCAGACACAATAAGTTTCTAGGTGCGACTGGAGTGGCTCTATCGCACAACACAGCCGCTAACATTTATATAATACGTAAATTTGGCATAAAGTGATATAGAATCTATTAAAAAATTCTGCTTTTGTCAAATATATGCAATCAGCGCCGTTAGCGGCGTGTACTAAAATTATTTTACGATATAACAATGACATCTAGAAATTGCAATGTCGTGTTTGGTTGTTAATATCGCCAAACAATCTCTATTCATTGATTTGGTCAAGCTATATTATATCATTATTCATCAACAGATACTGATAACTTTTACGAAATTCCGCCATTTCACTTTCAATAACCGACTAATTTAATGATATTATAAATTCTAAGATGACTGATAAAAATCTTTTTATTTAAACTAAGTAGGTATAACGATAATAAGAGTTTTGTGGGTAATAATTGCAATTTGTATCATTTCATTTATAGATAAAAAAAACTAACACATACTAAATGTTTTCATAAATTAGAAATTTAACTTAGAAACATCCTTAGTTTTATGATTTTCGATAGATGTCACTATTACCTATTTAAGTAGTATTTAGTTACTATAAAATGTATTTATATGTACTAAAGTGAAATAACAAAAACTAAGAAATGTACATTAGAATTTTCAAATCGATTATGAATTTAATTAAACAACTATATAAATGTAAGTTATTTATATTATTTAATTTATTAGTAACCGGAGGAAAAATGTCACAACTTTTTGTATTTTACGTTAGATGGCACTGTCTTGAAAAAGTGAATACAACAATAATGTCGTAGATTGTCGGGATAGTTCAATTTAGTACAAAATGGTTAAAACTAATTTTGGGCTTTATTTATAAATATTTTATTTATTTTAATAAAACACATTAATCGTATAAAATAGAAATTAACAATGAAGTTCCTAAATCGGATAAAAAGTAGCCTATAAGTAGCCCGCCCGGGGGCTAACTGCCTACCATAAAATTTCCTGGAAATCTGTTCAGCAGTTTTTGCGTGAATCTTGAATACACAGACAGACAGACAAAAATTCTAAAAACCACTAATTTGGCTTCAGTGCCCTTTATTTAGTCCCCTGGACTTGTTTTTTTCCAGAAAATATTAGAATCAGACACGACTTTTCTACAGATTTATTACATGCATATATTTAAACAAAATCAGCCATATGGAGATGCGTCAAAGGTGCAAATCGTAAGGTACTGCGATCGCGTAACGCCTGTTATGTCGTCAAAATAAGTGGCCTAAAGAGCCCTGCTGAAGCCATATTATGGTTATGGGACGAATGAGTCGGCTCAAATGGGGAAGAACAATGCCAGCGTGAAATAGTAGGTTAATGCTGCTTTGTTTCACTTTCATATGATGAGTGTAGAGAACCCTTTTTCCTGGTAACGAGGCACTTTATTAGCCCTCAGTGGTGATAACGCATCTGCATAATCAAGGATAGATGGCTTTGAGCTACACCCTACATTAACTTATCATTAGGTGGACGCCCATTTGCCACTCTTTTCTAAAATATGATACTTACTTGTGCCATAATCTGCATAAGAGCAATTTGTTTAATGTAAATGCTTTTGCCTCCCATATTAGGTCCGGTAATTATAGTAAAGTTGTATTCAGGGCTGGCAAACTAAAATAAAGCGGTTTTTTATTATATTTCCATAAAATTTGATCATTATAATATGGTGAATGAAGATGACCATGAGAAACATATGTTGTACATACATATGTAGTGGTTGAAATTTGTATTCAGTGCTGGAGCACTAAAATAAAGCAGTTTTTTAATTATATTTCCACAAACATTGTTTGATTATAATAATACGCTGCACGAAGGTGACCATGATAAACAGATGTACAGATGTAGTGATTGATTATGAGAAAAAAGAACAAGTTCGGTACTTAACACCAAATAAGCATACGTCACAGAAACGACGCATCGGCCTACTACAAATTAAGGAAATACCGTTCTACACTTGAGTCGTAGTAAGTCAGGGACTTAGCACTTGCTGTAAATTTCACAGTTTGCGAGCAACTCAGGTTCGATCCCCGCATGCACCAATGAAATTATTAATTGCATTTTAAGTGTTGATTTATCACGTGCTCAGCGGTGAAGGAAAACATCGTGCGAAAACGTGTATATCTGAGAAATAAGAAAAAAAATATTTCGAAGATATATGAAGTTCGTCAACACGCGAACGCGCATTGGCGCCGCGCGACTGATATTTCCTTGCCTTAAAACCCTCTCAGAAATAAAAGAAGCCCTGTGCCCAGCGGTGGGACGTTTATAGGCCGTAACTTTAACTTTTTATACACTTGTGTCTGTCTGTGAATCTATATGTGAGTGACCGGCGTAAGAACGGAGGATGTATATATACATCAGGTTAAGCCGTCGTAGCACAGAAACCGGGCGTTCTACTAATGTACGTGCAAACTAAATTCTACCTCTACCCGCACCACAAACATTATTAATTACCTTTGAGTATTCAACCAACTGGTTTAATACTAAAAGTTAAATACGATTTTAGGGTATTAAATAAGCATGTGCTGCGGTAGGGGAAAAATCGTATTGCATCGTATTGCAACCTTTACAAAATGATAATATTTCAAGGACATACGGAAGAACAAGGAGTCTAGCTCTACTGATCCTCATGATTACGGATGTGAGGGGCCTGTGTACGGCCGTAGAAAATTTTAGGCTGTTACCACAGCAGAGATATGAAGAATAAAATATGTGCTGAATTCTGTGTATTTTAATTCAAATATGTATTTAATTTCGTTTCAAAGAACAAGGTAGAGTAGTTGACAAAAACTACTCTACCTTGAGAGTACATAACAACTACGTTTTATAATTCTCTCAATTGACTTACTTTTTGCGGGGGAAACAAACCCTTTCTATATAAATTATTGTTTTAAACTAAAAAATGACATGATAGTTTCTGGAAATCAAATAAACATCTATTTTTTATCTTTATCATCATTACATCCCTATACAAGTCTATTAATAAAATCGTCTCTCCAAATAACACTCTAATACAAAGCATGGTCCTGAGCCACGTGCATTCGTCGATTTCCAGCATGTCGTCACTTCTATACGGTACCAGATTGTCAATTATTCTAGACGTTTAACCGTAGCGCTGCGGCGCCGCGGGTTCTAATCTTTGTGCATTCGCCATTTATAATTGTAAAATGCTTTCATGGTACAAAAGAAAATTGTAATACTCTGGAGGAATAAAAAAGCTTAAAACGAAAAACGGAAAATTTACAGACAAAAATCGAGGCATTCCATCTTAATCCTCCGGGGTGAGAACGCATTTTCATTTTGATTCTTCATTGAGGATATATTTGGATGTCTATGGGCCACAGCATCCACTTAAAATCAGGTGGACTGTGTGCTCGTTTGTCATCTAATGCTATAAAAAAACTTGAAATTTATTTTTACGTGGTAGTCTGTTAATGGTAATATCATTTATCCAGCGTGTATTCGGGGTAACCTAGAATAAATATAGATGAATAATAAGATAGCTGATAGAAGAATACAACAGAAGTTATAAGAGAGCTGGTCTGTTTCTTGATTAAAGGCTGAAACTGTCATTCATTTAGGAAACGCAGGCAGTTCTTGGCACTATACCGCGGGGAGTAGGACTGTATGTATGTTTTTTTAGAACAAAGGTGAAAACCGAGCTCACAGTCCACCTTAAGTAAGTGGATGTTGTGGCCCATAGACATCTACGTCTATCCTCGATTACAAATCAAAAAGCAGATGCGTTGTCACCTCTGAGGACTAATATGGAATGCCTCGTTTCCAGTAATAAGGGTTTCCAGATTTCTATACTCACCATATGAAACACAGCAGTATTAAGCTGCTATTTTACGTTAGCATTTTGTGAGAGCGTGGTCCTTCCCCGGTTGAGCCGACCCATTCGTGCTACAACCATAATATTGTTGCAGCGTGACTCTACCACGTATGATATTTATTTCGTTTTTGTTTTTGTGATGGTATTAAATATTGTATATTTTAATGTTATGAAAACATATTTATGATTAACTATGAAGAATAATCAGTGAAATAAGTTATTTACAACATCGTTAGGCACCGGCATCGTTTGACTGTTGTAGTCCAGTAGAGGATGCACGCAGTTTCTCACATCCAAGTAGCTGTTGAATTGCGGTCTTATATACGAACCAATAGAGCTTGCCTGAAACGTTTGATTTGTCCCTTAAAATTATAAAAATAGGTATAATGATATCGAAGATATTTTTAAAAAAATAATGTTGATAGCATACTTGTGCCATGGCTAATAAAATGTCTAATTCAGCGACGTTCTCGCAGAGTTTGTAAAGGCTTGACATAAAAGGACGCAATTCTTTAAGTAAC